TAACAATATACAGTAATAAAATTCATGACAAAAGATTCACTATATTATAATAAATATTATCAGATATTATAAGCACAATAAGAGATCAACAACAATAATTAATAATAAAATAAAACAATAATCAAAATTTGCTGTAATCTTTATTTTTAGTATACATCTTATTAGATGTAATAAGAGATTATCAACATCAAATAATAAAATTGAACAATGATAAGAATAGAATGTAAAAAAAGCTATGAGATGAATAGAAAATTCATTCTTACTTCTTATAAGAGATTAACAATGATAAGTAATAATATAATAGAACAATTATAACAACTCCCACATGAATTTTTTCCTGTCTGTGAAGCTTTAAATATGTCAGCTGCATCTCTTGATTTACATCTCAACTGGACCAATATCTATCCTTTTTTTAGTGCAAAATGTCTACCTTTTTTAACTCTAGTCTAAAATCAAACATATGTGTACCTTTTTTACTATAATGCAAACTGTACCTACATCTAATGATCAACTAATTGCAATTTTTCTTCTATAAGACTTTTATTCAACATTAAATAACCCAAAAAGAGTTGCTATATCATTAAATTAACCAACATATTTTTTCTTTCCTTATTAAGTTGAGATATTTCAGCTTTTCACTTATAAATAAGCATTTGATATTTTGTCCTTGGCATACTTAAATTGCCAGTATCACTCTTCCTTAGCTTTGGTGTCATTATTAAGTCATGCATTTAAATTGGGGCAAGAAATGGCTTGTAAATTTCAATGCCTCTAAAACAAAACTGATTTCATTCAATTACTACAGAGAACATTTTCTGTCTACTCATCAGAATGGCTAATCCTGAACTTCAAGGCAACAACACTCTATACCTACTTGGCCCAATGTTTTCCACTGATATGAAGTGGAGCTACTATATTTAGTCAATTGCTATGTCTGCTGCAAGGAAGGCTATGGCTAATCCTGAACTTCAAGACAACAACACTCTATACCTACTTGGCCCAATGTTTTCCACTGATATGAAGTGTAGCTACTATACTGAGTCAATTGCTATGTCTGCTGCAAAGAAGGTTGGTTTAACTGTATCATTCCAAAATATTTTATATAAATCTATCATTCATCTGTGTACTGAATATTGCTGCCATATCTGGTCTGGTACTCCTATGATATATCTTGAGATTCTTGACAAAATTCAAAGAAGAGTCTGTAATGTAATTAATCCTGATCTGGTATTTCAACTTCAGTCACCTTCTCACCGACATGACATGGCGTCCACATGGTGTCATTATTAAGTCATGCATTTGAATTGCTTATTTCAAAGGTTGAACGACAAATGTCGAAAACAATGGTCATCTTTTATCAAACTGATTCCAACAATGAAACCAAGATTTATCTGGTGTTTTTTTTATGATTTTGCTTATCATCAGTGATTGGATTATGGAGAAATTATTTATGGTCAACAATACTAACATATTAGTATTGAATTCTCTTAGTATACATTGAATATATATTTGTATCTATTTTTATCAGTTACTAGCAGCATGGCCCGGCGTTACCCGTGCTTTTTCAAAAATCGTACGACTCATACAGCAATCGCTATCACTTGACTTAAAATATTTTTGCCCTCCCTTGCCTTTGAAGGAATGCCCTTTGCCGTGCTGATGTTGCTTCTTGCCTATCTCACACTAAGCTCTATACTAAACATTAAATCTGAGATAAAAAAAGAACTAAACAAAATGAACACAAAACGATCAGCTTTAAAAAAAGCACTCGTAATTGGAAAAACTAAATGAAAAAAGAATGTTAACAACAAATACTTTTTCACACCCAACCCAGTTCTGTGGAATCAGAATCAATGATGAGTTTAAACAAGGGAAATAGCAAATTGGAGTAAAGTGCCATACAGATTTAAATTTTTCCCACTTGTGACGAATGCTGCTATCGATTTTTTTTTGCATGCTAGTTAACATTCATGTCAGTCAGCTGTTGGCTCTCATGATGGGAGTTGGGAAATGAAAGTCAGTCTTGACCTTCCCGCTAACTTGGAGCATGTGCATGTAAATTTTGGTGCAAATCCGTCGAAAATTGCGTCCGTGCATTCATTACACACACACACACACACACACACACACACATCCTGCCTTTTATAGATAGAGATAACAAATGTAGTTCAAGTAATTAAGCATCTGTTGAATGGGCACATTTCCAGATCATTTCATACTAACATGGGAGTCCCTGAGGTCTTTATCCTTGGATCTATACTGTTTCTGGTTTTCATCAATGATCTCCCTGATGTCATCAGTCTCCAACTAGGATTTTATACAAATGGCACTATCATTTATTCATGTCTTAGTAGTAAATCCAACAGATCTGATAAAGTAAACTTGACAATTACACTTGAAAAGATCCTCCAATCCTATCTATGATATCCAGTGATGGTCAGTAAACACAAAAACAGAATTTTTAAGGTAGGAAAGTACTTACCAATGCCCTGTTTTTAGCCATAGACTATTCATATTGCTGTTGCCACAACCAAAGCACTGCAAAATATAAAGAACAAAAACATTTTAGATGAAAAATATTGTTTTTAGAGATATTATCAAATATGAAGAATTACAGGACTTTTGTAGCATGTAGAGTCTTCCTTACTTTGCTTGATTGAGCAGAAGTAATGGAAGTAATCAGAAGTACAATAAGAAGTCATAAAAATGCTAGCAGAAACCTATTCGGCCTCTTTTCTATTTTTCATTCAGCAGCCTTGATCTGCGAGGCCTGCTCTTTCCCATATTTTATTTCAATGCTAGCTCAAAGGGCTACTCAATCCTTGCTGCAGAAGACAAGGCCTGTCCTGGCAGCTTGAGTTTAGATTTCTCATTCCTCCCATGGAAACAAGTGAAGAAATCCCTCTTCAAGAAATCTACCCAAAGGAAAAACTACACACAGCCCTTTCTACAGAAGGCAAGGCCTGTTTTAGCAGTTTCACATTCAGATTTCTTGATCCACCCATGGAAACTAGCAGTGAAATCTCTACTCAAGAACTTTGCTAACTAGGAAACCCTACTTCCCCTACCCACAAAATACTACTATTTTTGCACTCTCTTTCAATCAGAAATAAAAGCTGTTAAACAGTTATTACGAGCCTAGCGTTTTGTTCATCTCACACACAAACATGCATGCAACTGGGAAAAATTTCTACCGAGAAATACATATTCCATCACTTTTATACTACCATTGTCATATAATTGTTGCTACAAGTGCCTACACATTTCATGCATATAACAACTATTACATGATGGAGGTAGTATAGATTTGTCAAAGGAGAAAACACTGAATTTCAAATTCTGGAATATATTTTATATTACGAGCCTATGAATAAAGAAAACTAAGTTGTAATAAAAGTTCTATTACCTCCTATAAAATCTTTGCATAAAGAACATTTTCAACAAGACATCTATTTTCCAAAGTTCTTTTTATCATTATGCTAAGTTACTACTCTGGACATAGCAACATGGATAATTGTGTAATGTTTATGTTAATCATGATAAAAATAATTCAGCAAACTAACTATTTTTTGCTAATTTAAATAATTTGATAAAGTTTTCAGAAAATCTAATTCAACATATTTTTATTATTTATTCAGATAATTCCAACCAAAATTATTCAGCTCTGCTCAACTAATTTGTTGCAATGTGAAATGTCAGATGACAACAATGGTTACTATGAACACTGTTGGAAATAAGTTTGCAACTAATGATGTTGGAATGAAAACTAATTCTATAAAATTTTAATATTTTTTTAAAATTATTTACTTTATGTCCCCTTCTAAAAAGAAAGTTATTTTCAGAAACCAAAATTAAATTTATATTATCTTTAGATGTAAGCACTGATACTTTTTGCTGTTAACTTACAACAGAATTTTGACATGGCAGATATAAGTTCTTTCTATACAAAGATCATAAATTCTTTATCAACAGAAGCATTTCTTTCAAATGGCAATTCTTAAAATTTGAATTAAAAACAAATAACACAGATGAAACATTTATTAAAATATGCTTTTAAAAATTTTAATGCAAATTAAATGTTAGCACTAATGTTGTAAATACAATTGGTGAGTGATGTGTATCAAAGGCTGATAGTAAAATGATTGCTATTGTTTGTATATGTAGGACAAGTTAGGACTTCATAGAGAATCTGAGGTATTATGGTGACTGTAATGAGAATGGTAAGTAAGAATGTGTTGCTTTGCTGAAAGGAATATTATCAAATGAGCGGGTCAGTGAGGAAAGTTACATAAACACACAGATATATGTGTGTGTGTGTATATATATATATATATATATATATATATATATACAGTGTGGACCTAGAATATATATTCTTGTTGTCTGACAATGTCTTAGTGTGAAACATAGTAATGATTTGATCCAAGTCCCTGAGTGCTGTTTGGCTTAGTATTATAGCTTTTAGTCTAATTTCTAGTGGCATTGAGAACTTTAGGTTTTTGCATCGGTAGGGGTCTTTCTTTTTGTGTTTTGTTTCCAGTCTTTTTTTTTCTTACTTTTGCTTTTCCATTTTTCTTTTCATCATTTTTCCTTTAGCAGACTTCATATTGATTGGGTTGTTCTTTGATGCTTTACCAATAAGTTGGTTTGTTTATATTATAACACCACTAGTCGATGACTATTGTCATAGCATTCTCTTACTTATATAACATACTTCGCATTAGGATTCTGTATACATAATTCTTCAGCTACTCTACCAAGGACTTCAGTACTAGTTAATCTGAAGACCGACTCCAAATGGCTACCAGTCATATCTCTGATCTGGAACACTTTATAGTAATGGACTAGTTCATATTGTCACTGGGGTTGTACTATTTACTCCAAAACAGTATATATATATATATATATATATATATATATATATATACACACACACAGTGTGGGGGAAACAAATATTCGTACACAGACATATTTTTAATTTATTGTATTTCCAATTTCACATAATAGTTTTGCCAAGGTCATTAGAAAGAAAACATATGGGAGATGTGATGAAGACATGGGAAAGGTAGATAGTAGCTGCAGCCATAAGAAAGACCAACAAGTTATTACTCCAATCTCTGAAAGATAACAGAACAGGCAAACACATACAGTTGGGGTGGGGGGATCAAATATTTGTACACATAAAATTTTTAATTTATTATACTTCCAACTAATGAATAAACATGCTTTTCATATAAGTAACTGAACACAGATGCATAATAACTAATTATGCATAGAAAACAAAAATCTTTGATTTAATAGAAATAAATCCCATTTATCCATTTTAATGGGTGAAAAGAAGTATTCGTACAATACATATTTCAGATTTTAAAACTTAGATTGCTTTGATACTCTAGGTTATTCAAGTGGAATAACCTAGAGTATCAAAGCAATCTAAGTTTTAAAATCTGAAATATGTATTGTACGAATGTTCCAATAATGTTATCAATAGTTATTTTTAGCCTAAAAAAATACAAATATATCATTTTTTAATTGATATTCGTGCAAGAAGGTTATCATCATGGCAAGAGGTAAAGAATTGACAAATTCACTAAAAGAACTGATTGATAAGCTCTGGAAAGAAGGTAAAAGTTGCAGAAAAATCTCAGACAACCTGAATATTCCATTTACTGCCATTAGTTCATTCATTGCAAGGTATAAAAACCTCAAAACTGTTAAAAACCAAAGAACAGGTGCTCCATGGAAGATTTCTTCAAGCTCTTTGAGGAAATTAATGCGTCAAATTAAACAAAATCCAATGGTTACATGTCAAGAATCAGGAATCTGTGTCCCTAAATGGACAATAAGCAATGAAATTCATAGGAACAATCTAAAGTCATGCTCCCCTTGGAAATCTCCACTGGTATTGAAAAGACAGAGATGCCAAGTTAAAATTCATTCATGAACATAAGGATATATAGAAAAATCATATTGGGAAAGAGTATTATGGACAGATGAAACTAAACTTGAGTTGTTCTGATGTAATTCTAGAAATCATGTATGGAGGAAAGATTTAAAGAAAAAAAACACAGTCTCAGTAATGAAATTTGGTGGTGGCATCATCAAAGACTGGGGATGTTTTTCTGCAAAAGGTACTATAAAGTATCAAATGAAGATTAAGAATTATGTTTTGTCTTGCAAGAATACTTTATTCACTCATTAAAATGGATAAATGGCATTTATTTCTATTGAATCAATTTTTTTCTGTTAACTATGCATATTTAGTTATTATGCATCTGTGTACAGTTAATTATATGAAAAGTATGTATATCTATGAGTTGGAAGTATAATAATTTAAAAATTTGTATGTGTAAGAATATTTGTTTCCTCCCACTGTATATGCGTGTGTGTGAATGGAATTGTGGTTAGTGGTATGGCTAGCACTTTGGGAAGAGAAGTTGTTGAATTGAGTTCAAATATTAGCAGAACTGGTTACATTTACTTTTGCAAAAATACCTTATTAATTTAATAAAAATTTGTTTTTTTTTTTAAATTTAAAAATTTTTTTAAAGAATTTCATTTTTCTAAATTGACCTTATTTCTTTATATTGATGTCAAATATTTTAATAATATCATTATTATCAGTTTGTCATTGTGATGGTTATAATGCGATGACAATGGTTTCACTGCTTAAAATGACGAGACAATTTCAATGTATCTATTTTGAATATGATCACTCCCTTCCCCCTCCCTATTTTTTAACTGTCAACTGGCTTAACTCCTTTCTTTCCCTCTCTCACTCTTTCCCCTACCTATGTCTATCTCTCTTTCTCCTTAAAAACCTTATATTAAAATCTCTATCTTTCTCCCCATTTTGTTTCCCTTTTTAATATTAAACCTTTCCTTTTTCTCTCTTCCTTTTTCTTGTGTCTGAATAAATTGAACTACATTTACTTTTGTAAAATTTGGTCTGAAGAGATGGATGCCTGAGTTCACAAAATAAATTATCACCTGACCGAATGGATTTTTAAGGATTCTGTATTCATTATTATATTGCTCTGTTTTTACATTGAGCTATCTTTAGAGTTATATCCTCCTTGAAATTATCCCTACTAATCATCAAAATGATATTTTATATATATATATATATATTTAGGGAGAAAGAGAGAAAATAGTAAGGTTTGGAAAAACACCTAATATTTTTTTATATATTTATACTTAATATTTATAATATATATATGTTTACAGAGAATTATTTAAATTAAAGTTGCTCTACTTACATGTCGGATTTCTAGGCTTAAATAAATATAATATTATATATATATATATATATATATATATAAATAAATGGCTGTTGACTTGTTAAACAAGTATGACCATTGCTGAAAAGTTTGGTCAATGTCTTTGGTTCTCATCAGATTCACAATGGTGCTCCAATCTAAATCGTCTTGTAATACCTATTACAGATGTGGCAAACTAAGTTCTTTTCTACAGGGCCTGGTCTGTTTTGTAAAGTGTTTTCCCTGTGGCTTTTCATGTTATGTGTGACACCAGAGTACTTTATGCAGGTTTTCTGAAACATGTTGCATTTCAAGTTATTTCCTGCATCGTACTGTTCTTAATTTGTCAAAAGTCTAACAATATGTGTCTAATGGAGCCTGCATTGGATAGACATACTTTACTACATTCATCACATGTAAAGTGACATCTTGCATGGGAACCAGTGGAGAAATCTCCCTTCGAGGCACCTATCAAAGGAAAATCTTCACAAAACACTTACTGCAAAGACAAGGCCAGAACTAGTAGAGAAATCTCTGCTCAAGAACTTTGTTAACAGGGAATCCTTACTTTTTACCTGCTATTTTTCACTCTTTCAACAAGAAATAAAAGCTGTAGAACAGATATTTCAAGCTTTGGGTTTTGTTCATTCCACTCTTATTACCAAGCACAAGCACACACAAGTGGAAAAAAATTCTTACATGTCCTCAAAATACACATTTAAACAGTTCTTGATGCATTTCTTTGGCTCATGTTAGGATAGAGTGCCATAGAGCAACACACTGTTGATCATTTCTTTGAGTATTCAGTTGTTTTCAATGAATGTGCACTCTGATACTGCTTGCATTGACCTTTTCAAGGACCACATTGTCTGGTGTGTGGGTTATCCAGTGGATATTAAGAATCCATCTAAAACTGCAATGGAGGAATCTCTCCAGAACGTCTAAATATCTGTGGGATACAACTCATGTCTCACAGAAATACAACATGCATATCAGCACACAGCCATTATAGACTGCCATCTTTGTGCACTTCTTAAGTTCTCTCTGAGCCTAACTCATTCTGTCAGAGCTGCAAAATCATCAATTGACTTCTTTAGAGAAGCAAATATTTCATCGTCAAGAGTACAGTCTCTGTTTATAGTACTCTCAAGGTATGTGTTTTGTCACCTGGCTTCAGTTTGTGGTCAGAATGTTGACAGGAAAGCCAAATGTTTTGTAAAAACAGGAAAGTTTACCCATCGAAGGTTGCATTTCCTGTTATGCCTAGTTTCAAAAACTGAACGGGAAATGCAGGTGTGTGTGCGTGTATATATATATATATATATATAATATGAAATAAAATAAAATGACAAGTGGAAAAACCTCTTATAATAATGCATTTTGTTCAATTGCATTTGACTTTATCAAGGCAAATTTAGCAATTATATATATATCAACTATATTGGTAAAGCTTCCAGAGATTAAAGAAACTTATGAACACAAAAAAGATTTCCTACATAACAATTTATCCAATGAATTTCTTATACACAGAAATAATTTCAATCACAATTTAAATGTCAAAAATGCTGTTTCTATTAAGAGAGAAAATAACTTCTTATATATAAAGTACACTGTATATGTGTGTGTTTGTGCATGTCCAAGCAACACCTCTGCTCCCACTGGTCCAATTTCAGTGATTCATAGCTCATTCAAAATTCCTAGAAAAGTTAAGTGTTGGGAATGATTAATATATTATATTAGCCATTATCATTGCTTTCATAGTTCAAGTGAATATTTCTTATTTTCCTTTTGTATCCAAAATTGTAGCAAGCTAGCTAAAATTTTAATCTAGCTTAAAAGCTGCCCTATCAGATGGCACTTAAGCTAACTCCTGTGGAGGACTCTTAGTTTCACCATCATCACAATAGCTAGGGAAGAGTAGATGCAATAGGCATCAATAAACTACAGAAGAATTCAAAATTGATCACTGCATTTAAGTATTGATGTTTAATCTTACCTTTTGAAAGTTTAATGACAATTTTTCTGCTGCCACTTAATTTAAGGATGATTTGATGTATGTAGATCCTTATTTTCCCTATATATACTTATTTTTATTTCATGGGGGACAGAACTGGGAACAATTTATAAGATAAAATTACTATAATATAAAGATGGGAAAATAGAAATCAGAATTAGTGACACATTCAACATTTGAAGAGTTAGAGAAACATAATAGCTAATTAAGTAAAACCTAAACTACAGAATCTATAACTGCGAAATTGGAGCTCGATTAAAAAGCCCCAGCTCTACTTTAGAGTAATTTGTATTTACTCAACACCCTATAAGGGCAGGTTGTGACACAAGATTGGTTTAATGTGGGGATCCCAAGCACATACAACCAGGCAAGGAACAAAAATTGCCTGCAGCCCCTCACAACCATTGATTGTGCTGGCCTTGGTGCGTGCACTGATCCCTTTCTCTAGTGTAATAAGAGGGCATGGCTTCAGGCAGCCATTCCCCAGGGCCAGCCCCTCTCAGTATAATTTTCCTAAGTTGTGACTCTGTCCTTCGACAGAGTTGCCCCTGAATGTACTTTGACCAAGGACAAAGACACAGCTGAGAGATTATAATGTGTTACAAACTACTTAGAGTAATTTACACGGTATTCACTCGACCACTCAATGAGTCAGGTTGTGATACCAGGTCAGTTTTTAACGTAGGAACCCGATTGTCTTCACTTGGGCTGCTGGTCTTAGCTGGTCATAGCTTTTCCAAACTGGTCAGATCTGGTTTTAGCTGGTACAAGCTAGTCATAGCTGTGATACTACCAGTGCAAGGATGGATCCCT